CTGGGTTGATTTTAAAAATTATGAATCACTGTCTTGTTAGATGACAGTGGAGCTTTAGATTTCTTTGAAAAATCTTTGTACACATGCACACAGATATTTTATTTAAAAATTTAGCTGAAGTTCCCTTGTGTTACTTCTTAGGAGCTTTGCTCCATGGAGTTTTTATGTTTAAGCCTTAGTTTCAAAAGCTCAACTTTTCTTCTGAGGATGAAGGAACGTGAGGAAGACAGCAACATCACTCTATTTTGGTAGTTAATAGTTGTAGCTATAAAACTGTGGAATCTCTATCTCCAACTCTTGTTACAGTCAGAATTTCTGGACATAATACAAACAGTAGATGGTATATGAGGAGTACACATTCCAGCAAGACTGCACTGCTTCCATAAATACAGAATGTTCTTTAAATCTTTGCTACTTATAAAGGCTTTTGAGTAGACAGAAATAAATTGCTGGCTGAAGATACTCAGAATTGTCCCTGTCATGGTGGACAACAAACAGTAACTCACTGGGCCCTGCGAGACCTCTCATGAACAGTCTCAGGTAGACCTGGGTAAAACTTTCAATATGGGTAATGTATTTCAGTGAATACATCCAGGAGGTTAGATCCCAATTGTTTATGTTGTTGTCCTATTAATTATTAGTATTGTAATGTAAACAACTAATTTAATAATGCTTTACACTTTACAAGCAGGAGGAGGAAGACTCAGATGAAGACCATTCTCAAAGCAGCCATGAGTTATCGTCCAGTCCAATATCTTGCCTCCCTGTTGATGAGTACCTGTGTTACTCTCAGGAGGAGAGTGAGCCTGCGTATGTTTCACCTCTGGATGAAAAGAAAGATTTCAGGCAAACAGCCTTGTCTATGTCCAATTTACATGAGGCAACAATGTAAGTTCTGTCTTTTTTATTCTGACTGTTTTAAAATATTTCACGTAGATTTTGCAAATGAAACACGATCCATACTTATTGCATGGGAATATTCTATACCGAAGAAGTGTTTTCTTATGGGAGAAAAGAGGCCAAAGTTGTTGTTTGGGCAGCATACCTGTGGTTTGAGTTATTTATTCAAACAACTTTGTGCCAAGTCCATGAAGAGAAAGGTGAAGGAATGTAAGCAGATAGGAGAAACAACTACATATACGGAGTGGTAGCTACGACATAATGGCATAGTAAAGGTATGCGGACCTATCAATAATTGCTGCAACATTTTTAGATATCTAACTACTTATGTTCTTACAAAGCAGTCATAAAACAAAGCACAGTTCAGCCAAGCAGGATAGTCTGCTCCTGTGCGTGTGTGTACTGGGATTGACCGTGTGAGTGATGTAAAAATGCCAGAGACATGAGGCATATAAACAGCAACAGGTTAGCTGAGTGAAGGAGCACACAATATGTGGTCACATGGGAGGCCACTGAATACATGTAAAATCCATTTCTTCCTTGCGTAAGAATAGTTGTTAGTGTCTGGATGCCCGGAAAACTTAACATCATCCCCCTGCTCTCCATTATAAAGCCAAAATAAAGCCCTCCTCCTGATTCGTAGTTAAGAATTTCCGGTTGCATGAGACAACAAATCTCAAGATGCACATGGGCTGTTCTCACTCAACCCTGAAACTTGTTGAAGAATATGATTTCAGGAACAGATGTGTTCTCATAGCTTATGGGATGGTATCTTTTTCTTGTGTTTTGATTGGAAGCTCTTAGATGCATAAATGAAGTTGACTAGGCTCTACCAAAATTGAGAGTAAATTAAAAATGTCTTGGGTTTCTATGTAACTCAGCTGTGTATGGAATAGTTTGCTCAGAAATGCTGTGAAGATATTTCTCTGTGTTTTGTTATTATGTAAAAAAACCTAACCAACCAGCTGCTTATGTCATAACGGAAATCTTTCTCTGCTTAAAAAACCTTATTCTTCAAATACCAGCTAAAACATGGCCTCCAAAAATGTTGATTCTGGGTACCACTAGCATTTCCACTGCATCACAGTAATGTTTGTTAACAGCTGCTTTTAAGAGTAGGGCTTGGATGTTGACTGTATTAATTCAGTTACAGAAATGCAAAGCATTTCCTGTGAGATGCTGAGCCCTGTCAACTCCATTAATTCCACACAGACTTAAGACCGCTAGCGAGACTCAATCCTGAAAGCTTTTCCTCCCATATTGTCCATAAAGTCTCTGCCTTCACTTTATAAGAAGGGTGAGAATACTAGTAAAAGGGAAGGAGCGCAACTGTTTATCATGTGTGATGGTACAGCCAGTTATATCCGTAGTTGGAGGGATGTGGTGGAATGTCTCGAGGCACTGAAATCAGTGCCTGCCGTGGCCCATAGCAGCAGGCTGCTTATTACCCAAAGCCACAGCTTTTACAATACTTCCAAGCACATGGGGGTTTCATGTTCTTGTCTCTGTTTTACAGGCCCGTTCTGCTTGAACATCTCAGAGAAACAAGAGCAGATAAGAAAAGGCTTCGCAAAGCTCTCAGAGAGTTTGAGGAACAATTCTATAAACAGACAGGAAGGTAAATAACCAGCTCAACAAAAGCCCTCTCCTTCTCCCCTTTGGGCTCCTATGCAAATGTGTTTGTTTCTGCTAGGGTGGGTACTCTTAGGTTAGCAGGCCAAAGAAGCTGCAGGTAGGGACTGGAAGATACTATGGAGGTGTCTGGTCTCTGTGGAGATGTCCATCTCCCTGCTTAGCTCCTCCAGGATGTGGGCATGCCTGAGGACGGTCTGGATCTGGGGATCTTCCAGGCCGTGCCTCCAATGGGTATAAACCCTGCCTCAGCACAGGACCTTTCCTGAGCTGAAGGAAGGCTGCTAAAGAGTCTTTCTGAGGATGTAAATCTACAGGGATTACACTTGGCAGTTGGGCCATTTTTAAAAGGCCGGATGTAAAAACAGAAGCCACTGTTTCTTTCACCCATAAATACTGCCTACTTTTCACTCTTCGTTTATCCTCCTCCCTTCACTTAGCAAACTTGTTTGCTGAAAACCGCAGAGGATATGGGCATGTAGTATTCTGGTAACAGTTTTCAAAGCACTATGTAATAACTTCTCTGCCTATTTGAGCACAAGGTAGTTATGCTTGCATAGCTGACAAGAAAGAAAATTACCTGGTATATGAAAATTCAGTATTTTAAATACCATTATTTCATTTCTATCTTTTAGAGCTTTTTGGTCCTGTCAAATTATCTTTAGTCACCTACAGTTAGGAAAGAAAAACAATCCAACCCAATCCTTATTAGTTGTTGCAGAATTAATTTTAGAGGCTGTTTCTCCTCTTACTCATAAAAGTGATGGCACTTTTATTTGCTTTTCATAGGAGTCCTCAAAAAGAAGATCGGGTGCCAATGGCTGAGGAATACTCTGAATACAAGCACACAAAAGCCAAAATCAGGCTCTTGGAGGTTCTCATCAGTAAGCATGATATTTCCAAAACGCTTTGAAGTGAATGCGATGCCATGATATTGTTCTCTAGCAAAAAACCAAGCAAACAAATGAGTAATGAAAAAGAGGAAGTAATTTTACAGGTCTTGGTCTGCTGCACAATTATTTGACACACTGAGATTTTTGATGCACTTTACCAATTATACTAGCTGGGATGAGAGAGGACAGCAATACGCAAGAATATTAAGCACGGGTGAGTGGACTGTAGTATGTATTTTTTCCTTTTGAAAAAGCCCTGAAGTGCACTGTGAGAATGTCAGAAATTAAAAGGACACTGAAGTATTTCAGATCCTCAGTTTGACCTCCTCTTAGCTTTGAAAAGTGTGAGGAAATGCTCTCTAGGTTTTTAGTACATGATAATGTACCACACATTTCTTTCCAGAATTAACATGCACTATAATTAACTATTAATGTCGGTTCTCAGTGTGCCGATTCAGTAGATTAAAAGAAACATAAGCTTAAAACAAATGAAGGAAAAACTCATGAACGTACTCTATCTTTCAAGACAGAGTTGCCATTCAATTCCAGTAGCTTCAAAGAAAGGTGCATACAAAGAACCAGTGCCAGGATTTGGTCTAAAATTCTACGAGTAGAGCAAAGTGATGCTGCCTATGCAAAAAAAAAAAAAAAAAAAAGGACGGAACATGACTGCCAAATGGAACTATTGGTTTTTTTAGAAATAAGAGAACGTGTTTGGCAACATGAACTAGATAGAGTTTACTGGGAAGAGATAAAACAAATGTACTGACTGCTGTGCTTTTCACTATGGTTCACAGGACCTGGCTCACGGTACTTAAAATTCAGTAAATAGATCAACTACATGCTGATTTTTATTTCTGTATTAAACTTTGCACTTTATTTTGCCTGACGCTATAACGTTTGCTTTTCTAACTACCAAAGCTCGTTTAGACGCATGCACTTTGTAAAATGTCGAAGTATTTCTTGTGTTATAAAATTGCCACATATATATTAAAACAAGACTAGATTATTGCATTATGCTAAGATATTTTGGATAGATAAAGTACATGGTATATAATTGAGTGTCACAGTCATCTGATGAGGAACGCTAGACTTCTTGTTTACTAAATATAAGATTATAAAAAAAATATTTTTCCATTGGATTTATGCATCTTTCTTAACTTTCAGAGCAACACACTTTGAAATATTAAGGAGATTTTTTTCCCTATTTGTGATAGATCATTTGTGTGAAAAGTGGGCTATTAACAGAAGGCTTATCAGCGGGTTTTGTACTAGAAACGAAAAGCAGGGATTCTGGGAAGTACCTAGCCCAGACATAAAGGAAAGAAGAATTTAAAAAAAAAAAAGGTGTGGGGGGGGACTTGAATAAGTTGACTCATGTTTAGTGTTTTGCTTTAACTGTCATTTTGTACTGACCACATAGTATAAGCAACCTGTTTTCTATCTTGGTAAGAAGATTTTCATTTTATAAAGCCTATTATGTACCAACCATGTTTGTATTTGTATTGTATGTAATAGCTCGGCATGATTTTGAAGACGTACACATTTTCAAGTAGTTTGGAGGAAAAGGTATGAACACTAAAAAAGGAATTTTTTATTTCTCAGAGGTTTGTTGTTTCAGTGTACTGACTTAATAATTTATAACTTAACTTTTATGAATCAGAAATGGTCTCCTTCGTAAATCTGTTTTAATTAAAGTCATCTAGAGCAACAGGAACAGATACAGAGCTATTTGAAGTTTACAAATAACATCTTTGATAAGGGAAAATGATTTCATGACATATGTATACAATTGATATTAAAATGTAACCTATATATTCTATAACTGACTTAATAATTTATAACTTAACTTTTATGAATCAGAAATGGTCTCCTTCGTAAATCTGTTTTAATTAAAGTCATCTAGAGCAACAGGAACAGATACAGAGCTATTTGAAGTTTACAAATAACATCTTTGATAAGGGAAAATGATTTCATGACATATGTATACAATTGATATTAAAATGTAACCTATATATTCTATATGATTGTATAATATTGTATACAACAGTACAAATAAAATATTTTTCTATTATATTTATTATGTCGAGACACAGTTTCTGTTTTCAGTTAGCTAATATAAATAACATAAATAACACTGTCAAACAACACGTTGGAAGTGCTGACATTTCTAGGCTCTGAAATTTAAATCATGCTGCAATTACAACCTTTCATGCTGTTTGGAGTTATCCCAGTATTTGTTCAGTAGTTAAAATGAATGCATATTTAAACACCATTTACAAGCTGTTATTTTTATTTTGCTAAAGCAGTTTATATAGGATTTTGTTACGTTTGGCAAGAAACAGAAAACAATTTTTGCAGCATCTAGGTATAAATGGTTGCCAGAAAGAAATCCAGGACTTCTAATCATTTAAAGCATCGGGGGAACAGAAGGGAAAGGGGGAGAGAAGAAATACTAAAAACGCTATCGGAGATTTTGAAGACTCGTGTTTGCTTTTGGTGACAGCGGCATGTGCATGCTTCTGACAAAAATGTCTGACTATGGAAATGGGCAACAGAGGTTTGAAGGCTCCTAAGTAACGAGGGAAGTTTTAACGTCCAACACTGATGTTGCAGGTCTTGCAGCTGGGATCTTTCTTTGCATTTGCAGTAGACAAGCTCATTAGTTGGTGACCAGTAATTTCCGCAACTGTGCCGAGGGAGAGATCCACAGGATCAGTGTAAATTACTTCCAAAATAACATCCTGGGCATGATGGTAAACCATGACACCGTCTTCTTCATCGCAGGTCAGAAATTTATTATCTTTTATATTTAGTTGAGGGAGGCGCTGCTTACAGAATTCGTCTCCTGGTGATCCAACGGGGGCGATAACGAGAATGACGTAGTGGTAGGCTGTGTACATGCAGTAGAAGTCTCCAAAGTACAAGTTAGTATTTGGGTTGAAGAGTTTTTCAGCTGCAATCTCAAACCTGTATCTTCCATAGGGTGAATCTTGTGGTGGCTTCCCGGTGTTAAACTCAGTGTTGCAGCTAAAGAAGATGCCTTCCAGCTTCCCACTGATCGGAGAGCCGTGGCTGCCACTGTTATCCTTAACAGAGGGCTGCATAGCATTCCCATGATGCTCTCTACAAATGAATGACTGGTATTGTTTATTTTGTAACACATGTTAAAGAAAAAGTGGAAAGTTAGGACATCATGCTGTTTGGTAACCGTACGGAAGGGACACAAAGGAAAACCGTTATACTGAAAACTGTGGTTAGTGTCATGATCTTAGGACCAAGAAAATCAAGTGACGCCCGACTCAGAAAGAGCTAGAATAACAACTCCTGCTCAAGGGGAAAAATCTGCTTTTCCAGTCTGGCTTCTCTGTCAGCTGTGAGCTGCGTGGGTATTATATGCAAGCAAAGAATAGGACAAACAAAAAAGCCCCCAAACCACCAATATCTTTAATTAGCTGATTTGTTTGGCCTTCCACTACAATTCTAACAATAAACACATTTTAGTTTAATCACATGTTGGAAATCGCAAGTCAGTCTCAATATGCTGAATATACTGTTTGTTAATGCGTATTTTTAGCATAGGCAGTATATATTTCAGGTAGAAAACTGCCAGTGAAAGTTACTTCTGAATGATGTTTTTCAGAGAGCTTATAGGAAGGAATGTACTGTCTGCCATAGTTGTTTTCCCCCCAAATGATAATTTCACGTCTAATTTGTCTACTGCTGACTTCAATCAGAGCAGAACTGGGCACAGAGTATTAGGCAATTTGGTTAGTTTCCACTTTGGTTGGTATCCAGCTTCTGCAGTCACTAGGCCTAAGGGGAAAAAACGTACAAGGCTAACTCTTGGGGTTTTTTTTGCAAGCTGAGCTCAATTTGGTTCCAGTGAAAAGAAATGTTCAATGTAACAAGTGAATTTTTAAACCTAAATCCCAGATTGCACTCAGCAGCATTAGGCTGCTAAACTTAGGAGAACAGTCCAAAACACCCCATCTCATCCTCCTCAGCACCTGAGATTTTATGTATAGCAGGACGTTCCCCAGAACTTGTGCTCCACACCTCTCTGGAAGTGCAGTAGTGACAGCTTTGGCTCTCTCTGCACCTGCAACCATGTGATACCAGAAAGGGAAACATTCCCTTTTATAAGTCCTGCAAAACACCAGATTTACTAGGCACCCTTAGAAAATGCCTTTATACACACTGACAGATTAAAAACGCATGAGGCTGTGGGGCTGGAGAGTCTTACATCCCCTCTCGCTTTACTTTTATTCTTTTTTTTTTTTTTTTGAGGAGAGGGGAAGCTAGCCAAGACAGACTGTTCTCTCTCTGTTTTTAACTTGCAACAGCTCCAGGTAAAATGGTGCTGTGTGGGAGAAGGTTTTACTTGGTTAAAGCAGGAGGTAGCAGTCACAGCAAACAAATTCAGTGTATACATAACCAAACAGCTCTAAATCAACTCAGTAATTTCTCCAACTGCAATTTTTTCCTTATTTCTAATCATCTCCTCAGCAGCATATCTTAATTTGATGCTAAGATAAATTTCAAAAGTTTTCTGGGCCATTCAAATACTACATAGTTATCATCTCAAGCCCTATTTCACAAGACATTGATTGGGGTGGGGGAATACAATTGGTATTTCATGACTGAAGCGATTACTAGGGAGAAAAAAATCAGCTTGAATAACCACCGTCTCTGCAACCCGAAAGGCCAGGCTTCTTGCAGTTCCATTTCTGTGGCAAGATACTGACATCCAGTGGCCAATTAGGCTAATTATAGGTCACTCTTCCCGGGGATCTGAGCTGCTTTATGGCGCTCCTAGCTGACGTAAGCAGCAGAGTGACATGAACACCATTTACAAGCTCACACTTCAAACCCTACATTTAGGGGTTGCTAAAGCTTGCTGCTTTAGCGCTGTGACAGTTGCTTGTTTGCCAATGCTACTAGAGCTACTCTGTAAGCTTTTCCAAGCTTGCTTACTAGTTACGACACCACAGAAGCCAGTAGCAGGCATGGTATGTCAAGGAATTTTTTCTAAAAGGAAGTCCGTGGTTAGGGTTTTTAACATAACATTCAGAAGGGTGCATTGTGGAAGGACTAGCCCTTGTGACCATATTAGTACATTTCTGATCAGAAAAGCTGACCATCAGACAGTTACAGGTATTCTAGCTTCATACTGACCTGGTAAAACACAGCTTTTTGCCTCTAACTAACAGAGGGAAAACAAACTAGTCTCTACTTTTATCAAACCAAGAACGGACATAACAGGAGGGAGGGGAAAAGATACAGTGCAATCAATTAGAGTCACATTTGGCAGAACAAGGCCAAAACCACAGCTATAAATGCACCTCAGCGGCAATTTTCAAAGCTCTATGAACACAAAGGCAGGTGTCCTATGATTACAAAGCTGAAAACAAAGCTATGAGAATCAGAACCACCAGAGGCATCTCCCTTCTGTGGTATCTAGTCCAGAACAGCAGCAGAGATTTATGAGGTCTTCAAAGAGCCTCAACGACTGCAATTCATTCTCTACCTCCATTGAGTTTTGCAGCTTTGTCACCATGTGCAATAAAATAATTCTTCCAAAACACAGAAGGGAAAGAGCAAACCCCATGCTCTGGAATATACAAGACACTCCTGGAATCGAGCAGATACTCGTGACTACAAAGTGGGAATGTTTCCAAGGGCAGTGGAGTCTGCTCTTCAGAGTTGGATTCCCTCGAGTATTTTTTTCTTCCCCAATTTTAAAAAACTTTCAGTTCTAGACAGGAACTAGTGTGACACCCACATAAAACTGGAATCATGTGGCACAGCAGCAGCCCCATCTCTCAATGCATATTAAAGAAGCATAGTCAGTGCTGCCACCCTTCTGACACAGTGCTGAAACAGATGTCGACACACTGCTTACCTCTCATCCATGTTCTTCTGAGGGTGGAAGGTTACCTCTGCATGGTGGCTGCTCCTGCTCAGTCAGTATATGAGCTTTGACTCCTTCTACTGAAAAGTCTTCTTTTCTATTGTAATGACTCTTCCGGTTGCGTGTGTGAAGGCACACTGGGTCTCCAACAGGAATAAGGGACCTACCTCCAGCTATTCCATTTATTCATTCCAACTGAAGCACAGTGTTGTAACATCGTCTAAACATCATCCCCTCTCCCTCCCCACAGTCTATAAATTAACATTCAGATTGCAGAGCCCAAATTACTACATTTGGGCATAGAAATGGGGTGGTTGTACATGGAGAGCAAATATTTGAGATGGAACTCTTATATGCAGGCAAATGCCTATGCACAGAGTTGTGCAGTCTCACTCTGAATTTCTTAGTACAATAGAATTATTTGGCTACTAAACACTCAGTTATTATAACAGACACTTTAATCAGGCTGGAGACCCTCTGAGTACTTCAGTTTCTGCTTCAAAGCACAAATTTGTATTGCCTAATGGAAGTGCTGAGTTAAGCAAGGTGGAAGAAATGAGTTATATTTTATTTTTTCCCTTCTTCTGGACTGGCAATAAAGCATACAGACATTCTGCTCTAGCTTTAGCACAGCTGCCTCCATTTACTTATTTTCATTATTCCCTTAATTTGCCAAACAATTTTGCATATGTTTACTTTCTTACCTGATATAATCAAAGTATTCTTTGTGCTGATTCCGGTAAAAAACAGACAGTTTAAGCATACGGCCTGCAATCACTTCAGCTTTTTCCAATAGCTGTGTTAGGTGAACTTTTGAATAATCTGGAAAGAAAGACAATCTGCTAGTATGGGGGGCAGGAAAAACCACAATACTCTCCAAAAGCTACACAGACGCGCAGACTTAAAATTGGGAACAGAGCCTCGGTAACACATCTCACATCATGCAGCAGCTATACAGAAACTACATAGCCCAGCACCAGTTTCCAACAGTGGCAACAGACAAACGGCAGGAACATGCGTGTTTGATTCTCCCCACTCCTTTCCCCAGGAATACTCTGCAAGCCTACAGCAACTTTCAGCTCAGGATTTCCTGTGTTAGAGCTGGTTTCCTTGTATTTGGGACTGCAGAGAGGATGAGAACTGCCCTCTCTGGCTTATGTCATTTCATAAACTGTTTGCTAGAACGTACCCAGTTGTCAGCCAATAATAATTCACATAAGTAAAAAAAGCTTGCTTAGGACCCGCCCTAAACAGCATCTCAACCAACACGGGATCCATGGAGAGCTTGCTTCAGCCCTCAGCTTTCACACAGGCAAGCACATTGGCACTAGGTGATGAATATCCAAAGGAAGAGACTTACAAATCAATGACAGGCTAAATTGATGCTTGAGACAGGGTGTTGGTGGTGCTCAGGCTTTGCAGCATGCAGAGAAGGGAGAGCAGCAGCATGTCTTAAGCAAGCTGTCTGTTAGGGAGATGCCACTCTGTCTTTTCGCCACAGGTGCTAGTAGCAAGCAACAGGCACACAAGTGGCCTTGCTCCACTTTGGTTGACCAGTCTCCTTTCCTAGCCTGGGACAAGCAGTGGTGCCAGGCACAGCACTTTGGGGCAGCTAAGCTATGGTGGAACAAAGGGGCACTCCAGCTGCCTCTCATTAACACGCAAAACCTGAGCACATACAAAGCCTAACGTTAGAATTCCAGTTTCCAGGTGTGGCTATTATAACGCTACCAGCCTAGCTGGCACTGGTAGATGGCTAACCCACTCAGAGAGCGAAGCTAGCGTTAATTGCATACGTCCTGTGGTGCATGCTTCTTCAGCAATATTACCTGCTGTGCAAAACTCAATGATTTCACTCCACTCAGAAACAACATAATCGCCATCAACTTGCTTTGATGCTGTCTGCACTGCTACTGTGTATTCTGTTCTTGGGCTCAAAAACCAGTGCCCGCGGACTGTCATAGGCAAAGGAACAGCTTTGGCCACCAATTTAGTGGGTACATCCTGATGGAAACAAAAAGACAAAACAACACACAAAAGTCAGCAGTGCAACCAAACCAATCCACCACCCCTTCCTCCTTTGCTTTTGCAATGTAACCCAACGCCTGGCTCTTCTGTGTAAACCTTAGTTACTTCTCACAGTCTGTTGGTGTAGCAAAGTTAACAGGGTGGCCAAGGACGATGGTCTAAGGTCTGCTCTAAGAGCTATGGTGATAACTTGCATGTATGAGTTTATTATTGGTTCCAACTGACTATAGACTGATACTATTATATATATATAGCCCAAATATGTAATTCAGACTAGGGCCATTTGCGCTTAAGTATGCAAACAGAGAAAGACATGCTACTGAGCACAAGGATATCTTAATTTAAGAGCTTCTTGTGCTCTCATTGCCATTGTTTTCTTTCAGTCAGTGTAACCAAACAGAATTCCTCCTGCCGTCAATCAGCCCACTATATTGCTGTCAATATCTTCCAAACCAAACTTCAACAGAGAAAATTAAACGTGTGTTTTACATGTATCAAAATACTCTTATGTACAGGAAGGGCCAGCACAAGCCAAACATACAGCTAGATAGTTTGTGCCTGTCATTGCACCTCTTGCTTCCCACCCCGCCACCATTTCAGACACTCTGTTTGGCTCTTCCAGTGTATCGCACCATAGTGCAACAAAGAAGAATAGCTGCTTGTTGTTGTTGAAATTCCTAATTTCTACAGTACCAAAGACTGCAGCACAGACCACCAAGGGGAAGAAAAAATTGAAGAACTGGACAGTTTATGCTAGAACTGTGGGTGAAAGGACTCACAGTGGAGTTGAATTATTCTCTGCACGGTGTACCCGAGGAGCTGTGATAGAGTGAGAGAGGTATTTACTCTTGAATATTTATCAGTAATCACAGAATAGTAAGATGGCTGCTATGTGAAAAGTGGGCATTTTAGGTAACATCCATAGCTGTCCACCTATAAATAATAGTCCATAGTCATCCACCTATAAATACTAGCACAGTAGTCCCTTAAGGAAAAAACAAATAGAAAAGAGACATTTTCTGTTCATGATCTGTAAGCAAGACCTGAAAGATTTTTTTTTTTTTCACTTGTCTTCTATTATGGAAAAATATCTTTCTTTTATTGTTTTTCTGTCAGCAAAAAATATTCTTCAGTTTCTGTATTAAGAAACTGTAAAATTAGCAGCTTGTGATATTACAAGAACTGAAATGTGATTGATAATCAAGGGTAAGATTTTGTTGTCATGATTTCTTTTTTGCTAATTCTCATGTAAATCAAGTAACAGCTGGGAGAAAACTTTCCCTGTAAAGGAGTCAGTTGTGCACTCTGAAATAGATAATATATAAAAGATAGAGAAAGATTACAAGGAAAAATAAAAGAAACCCCAAATGACATTTAAAGCTACCAATTGCAAAGGCATCCCACTGGACTGAATTTGCTACTGCTAATGCGGTCAGCTGCTGCTACAGTTACAATCATTAGTCTTCCTGTCATCTTTTCTTTGGCTATGGTAAAAACTGCCTCCACCTGGGTCAGGTCTCTGTGCCCACAACCCAGTGGTGGTTTTTGCCCCCATTAATTTTGTCACTTTTCATGTAACATTAAAAGCCTCATTGCTCCCGTGCATCAAAGCCTTACTTTCCAGCTGTGTATCAGGAAACTCTTCTAACTGTACCAAAAAAAGGGGCAGACTACCTACAACCACATTAAATAGAGGGTTTTATCTCTTGCACAGCTGGGGAAGAGGGGCAGATATGATGCTTTTCATAACTCTAACCTGTTGTTCTTTTTCTAAGCAAACTTTTCTTTTTTTTTTTTTTTCTTTTTCTTTTTAAGGTTGCTATACTGACCTCAGGAAAAAATGTTCAGATGTTCACATTGAAATTTCTCTGGGGATTCTCCATTTCCTCCTTTCGTCTCTTTTCTGCTCAGCTCTTATTCCTGGCTGAGCCCCCAAAGAAGTGCAAAGGAGGTTATATACCAGCTCAAGGACAGCCGGGATTCTGGAGTGGCAGATGGCTGCTCCACCACCAGCACCGACCAGACAACTCTAAAGGTACCTAGACGGCAATAATTTCCAAGAACAACCTGGAAGCACGGAATAACTAAGCAGCAAGGTATACGAGTCACACTACCTCTCTCCTTTCGGGGAAAAGATGCCTGCTTTGCAGTCCCTTCTTGTTGCCAAAGCAGCAGCTTTCAATTTTCATCTTTCTCCCATTTCATCTTATCCTTTCCCTTTGCCAGGTCTGCTCGTAGGACACATTGTGGAAACTCAGCACACCCAGGTTCTAGTCCTAGTTTTGCTAAATATCTGAGCCTCATTTCCTGTTACATAGGAATAATCATACTTCCGTATCTTAAAAAAGAGGGGAGGTATGCAAATTGCATTGAGAAAAAGACAAAGTCTTATTAGAATTCTAGTCTTTACATACTACTACCAATACAAACCTCCTCCTTCACAGATATGATGACAATAGTCATAAATAATAAAACTATATGCATGCTAAATATGCTGAATATACTTTATATATTTGCTAACAGAAAAAGTATTGAAAGGATGAATCATTCACGTATGCTCTCCTGGGTACACAAGGAAACAAAGAGCCCCCTTTCCTGAGGTACAGCATCTATGAAACAGGTTAAGTCTATATCCCAAGTCGCTTGCTCACAGCCATGTGAGCAAACTGAGACTTAACATTAACTCTCTGCAAGTTAGAAAATAGTTTAAGCTGGTCATCTGGTCTTGTCACCTGTGAGAGAGACAGGCACCTGCAGAGAGTGTTTTACCCTACCCCTAAGCTAAGTAAGGATGATTTTTTCCCCCTGAAGATGCCCGTCTCCTTCCACAGCCTGACTTCTGGATGACTCCTGAGAGTTAAGTCCCAATGCCTTTTTTTATAACTAAGTGGCAGGGCTCTCTCTTTTCTTTCTAAAAAGCTCTGCTAGGAGAAGGGGCAGTGATATCCTTCACCTTTATACAACAGCTTTGTTATGAAGGCAATGGATGGGTGGGGACTGATTCAGTTCCCTCTGGATTCTGGGAGGATTCAGTCCCTGGTGCTGCAGCTGCCAGATTATCAGCTCCCTACCCAGCAGGTCTGCTGCTGAGCTTCAGCTGTGAAACTCGTATAACTAACGTTACAGGGAGGAAAGATGCTTGTCTCTAACCATACTAGGGTTAGGGCAAATTTTGAATTTGAGCAATTTTTAATTTCTCAACAAAAGCTCATTCTAGAAAGTGTGTTAAAAATTACTTAGTACTAAAGATGCATGAAAGCAAATACAGATGTGCTCTGGCACAGATAGTTGTTAGGGTGTTCAGTCTGTGCAGTTGTCTTCCCCACCCTGTCTGCTGTCTGGATTTCCATCATTCCGGCCGGGGCGGGGGGAAGCTTTACCAAGTCACTAACACAGTTAGTACCAAGAAATTTTAAGCTAATTCTGACAAGACATCCAACTTATTCATCATTTTAATTGATAGACTTTAGTCTCCTGTTCTTACAGATCCAATTACCTCTCTCCTTTGACTAAACGCTTCATCACGGTAAAAAGCTAGGGAATTGCGGAGAAAAACAAAATCAATCTAATGGCTTATCTTTATTACACTACCAACATCCATTCTTCTTCTCTTCCTTTAACACTAGTCTCATCACTGTGATACAGATTTTGAAGTCTATATATAGTGTTTGATCTGCTAGGGTGGCTCTACCTTTTACAAAAACAAATTTTACAACTTTATACCAGTTCGCACACGAATGAAAAAACACGTAGATTAATGAAATGAAAGAAATTAAAAAGACTCCATCCCAGTAAGCATTTATATTAGAAGTTATATTTATCCCTGCAGTATAAAATGGGAATTCAAATTCAAAGGCTGTCAATTCCAAAAGTGATAACAGTAAGAAAAAAAACAACATACCCTACTTTATTTGCTATTACAATTAAAAATGGGTCATATTAAATGCCTATTATAACATTAAATTCAGTAGTGCTTCGCATGCTGGTTCCTAGCAACTGCAACATCTTGGCCAAACATGTAAAGTTCTCAATTTCAAGCAGTAGTAAGTGATTTTTCATTACACTTATGCATATGTTACTTCCAACCACGTTAAAAAAAAAAGTCAAATAAGGAAACGTGAAAATTATACACCTGTTATTAACAAAAGTCACAGGAAAAATACTCTGACAATAAAAAGACTCAGAGAAATTGGTGGAAATATTTCCTGGTTATCCCACTGACTTATAAACCAATAGTAATTTAGGTGTTGATAGAATCAGAGCTCTAATATTTGTCTGGAACCTTATCTTTTAGAGAAATTGCCAACATTGTTTTTAAATTTGCAGATGATTGTGTTGTTTAATCTTCTATCTCATTCCATGTTTCTCTAGACATCTCAGTATTTCAACTATTCTGAGGTCAAAGCAGATTTTGCTGGATTTGATAAGTACAGATTCTGCAATGCATTCAGTATGTCCCTGCATCAGTGGCTTGAGGAAAGAGGCCAGATGAATATTCAGGTCACAGCGCTGAATGCTGCAAACTAAACGTGCTGGAAGCCTTCCTAGAAGTGCATTAGAATTTGTGACTCTTCTGTTGAAATGACATGTGTTGCTTTCATGAGTGTCACTGAACAAGGACAGGCACAGAACATAAATTGTTTAAATAATGATTAAGAACTAGTCAGGAATAAAAACGTCTGTCTTGCAATACATTGTACAGGTTCCAAAACTGTTTTCAAATGAAATAGAAAAAGTAATGTTCAGTTCTCCATGAAACAAATGTATTCATGTGTACATGCACATAGGCTAGAGACGGAGAAGGTATTCCGAGTAAAAAAAAAAAGTCAATCAGATTAATCAAAACCCACCTTTGCTGGATGTCCAATACCTGTTTCCCATGGTCTGGCTTTGAAAGGTTAATAAAACACTGAGATTCATCTATTAAAAATCAAGTATTTCCACTTTGATTTTAAAAAGAAAATTACCTTGTGTTTAAATTTGTTGGAATTCTTGTTTTCTTTCTTGTTGAGATCGATGAAGTAATGAGTAATGCGGTCCTTGGATTTAGAATCCATGTCCCAAGAAATCTTGAAGGAATCACATGTGATGTTACTTATTTTGATGTTGTGTGGGACTGGAAGTTCCTCCATCTCTGCAATCCCACTATCTTGTGATTTATTCCCTGTGTAAAAAATAAGCACGATTCGTTCAGTTAAAGACCTATTAGATACCTGTTTTCTGTGCTCCAATACAATCACGTCTCTGAACAGCTTTTCACAAAGTCTCATAGGTGGTACTCAGAAGCAACTATGAGGTACAATTATGCAAGTCTTAATGTCAGTGATGGGAAATATTGGAAAGGGATGAAATTCCTCACGTGAATAAGCACTAATAACATGTAAGCAGGCTGCATAGACTGGCTAGTATCACAACTGTGTGCAGTTGCAGTTTGAGAATAAGAAACATCTGAAGCTATCTGGTGCTATAATGTTTAGTTAAGATGCCAGCAATGTCCACAGTGAACATCATGGCCCTATCCATACCTGTCAGTGAAATAAATACAAATAGAAATCATAGTCATCCTAAACCGATTTTTCAAGTGCAAAGTAAAACCAATCTCTTCAAGGTTTATACATGGTGTATGTATATACACATACGTATACACATATAAAAAATACTGTCTCCTTCGCAATGAAACAATTAACAGTGATCACTTTGTTGAGCCACAGTAAAAGGGACATACAAACCAATTTCATTTTCTGGTGTTTATTCTCGCTATTCTATTTGCCCGGTTGAGACCCTGCAGTTTTCTTGGGAAGTTTTTTCTAATTTCTCTAAGTGCATATGGTAGATGAACAAATGACCACTAACCCCAAAAAGCATCACAGGTTCTAAAATTAGGTCTTCCCTTAATTCCTAAGGCAACCTTGTAGTAGAGCATTCCGTGAACATTAAAACTCAGAAACATTAGGTGATCTTGCACTACATAAGACACACGTCAAAAGTGAACAAACAATAAAAAAAAAGCAGAAAGATGAGAAAAATGAGTGGGTAAAAAGGAAAAAATAAGAGAAGATGATGTAAGAGAAGAAGTAAAGAAACAGAGCATAAAAAAATAAAAATCAAACATAGATAAGTATAGAAAGAAACAAGGGAGAAAAACAAGGCTAATGTCTGTGTAAGAAAGAGAGGAAAGTTCCCAAATTCTGTCCAGGTGAGGAAGACTGGAAGCCCATGCAGAGATGCGAGGCAACACATTGTCAGAATTATTTTTACTCACTTCTAATTATAGAAAAAGATAGTATTTATACTTCCATCATAACTGATAAAAAACTGGACACAGAAGGTGAATGTAGTCAGTAATAATAATAAAAGTTTGACTTAGAAAACATTACGGACATTTCAACCTCTCAACATACGTTGTCAAAGAATTACACCAACACCTCAATGCAGGAATTTTAAGTTGGTCTGATTGTTCAAAATTCTCCTCATGGATATGTGAAATTCAATCACAGAGTCTGCAAAATCCATAGATTTCCAGCTAGTATTCTGAATAAAGTAATTTTACTGATGGTTTCAAGAACCAATAACAACACTTTTCTATTTTTGTTCCATTTTATGCATTTACATCCAACAGGTTGTCTATTCTTCAAACATCCTATTGCTTTTTTTTTTCCTTTTCAACTAATATCAAAGTCAGATGGTGCACGGTCTTGCTCGAAATTCTACCCTATTTGTGCCATCCACAATGACATTTTCAACAGCTGCACTGGCTGCAATAGAGTCAGAAATACCAGTCATTACTGAAAGCTTTCTGTTCATATGAAATACATGGTAAGTGCTTTTCTCAACACGAGATTTCAGAAAGCCAGCAGGGAGAAAATGGCATTGCTTTCTTTTGTAAGCATTTTGTATTTGAAAAATGACTGAAAGCTCTACCAGGTACACTGAAAAGGCTACATATGATCACTCTTCCAGGAGCAAGGCTCTGTGTTTAAGCAGAAGGTGGAGTGATGCTGCTGAGGTTCTCAGACCTCCTGGAGAGCTGGACGGACTTGGATCCCAGCACACTGAGTAACTGAAGAAAGACCTGAACAGACATGCAGTCAGGAAATCCAAGCCTTACATATCCACAATACGTTAATGTGCAACTTCTTTGCTTCAAAAGTGACCTTCTATACTCCATAACTACGGGCCCTAGCTATGTTACAAACAGCCAAAGTAGTTTAAGCTTCAGGAGACATGTGCAAAGCAGTAATGACCGCTGACAAAAAGTAACGAGATGAAAAAAGATTTTGGAGCACACTCATGACAGTCAAAGAGCAAAAGTGCTTCTGTAAATGAGTATTGTTTTCTGTACAATTCTTGGAAATAATGTCTGGCATACATCTTTAGATGTCTGCGCTCCTGATCCTTTTACTTTCTTTGCTTAAGAAGTGAATAAATAGTTTAAGTAAATGTCTAGCAGAAAATCTCCAGGTAATTTTTAGCAACATTTTTAATATGTCAGAAAAAGAAACCACTTGCATTACTAAGTGCTAAGCTATGCTTTTTTTGTGATGGAACAAAATCCAAATAAAAACACTTTTCTGAAATCTTTAAAGCTCTTTGAAAGTGGAAAAAAAAATTTACAGATTTTGAAATACAAACAGAATATTAAATAAGAAAGTAAAATACCTCACAATCATCACCAGCAAGCAATACTCCAGTTTCCCTTCTATTTAGACTATGAAGTATCTGTGATATTTGTAATGCATACTTATATTTTGATACAAATTTGCGTAGTCCTGAATGTCAAAATCCATTGAGTTGACAGGCAGTAATAGGAACCTGATAATGATACATAGTATTAATACGGAGGATGATGATTCAGTGAATATTGGTAAATGGTGACTTTTGAACAGTAATCAGTGTACCATTGCATGGGAACAAGGGAAAAAAAGGACGGAGCATGGAAAGCATGCTCGTGCTCTCTTAGATATGACTGATCCTAGGAACCAAGCATGCAAGTATTAGACCAGCTTTGCCCACACAGCAGACACCCTAGCAGCATTCAGACCACCAACAAATTTTGAAGAAGCATGCTCTTGTAAAGCATAAGCTCTAACTCAGAATCTGGGTCCTGCAAAAAATAGTGCTTTTCAATGTTAGGAACAGCGTTCTGTCCTGAGATGTAATGGAATATGACATAAAAATGTGAGATATAGCGCTTGACATCACTGCACTGTCATTAACTAGAAAGAAATGAAGATGACAGGATAGCACAGAAGGAGAGTCAGAATATCCTATCCAGTCTGGTAATGTACGTACATCATTTAAAACAACTACATAACATGGAATATTTCCACTGGAGTTTATCAATATTATAAAAGCATTACAGCTACTATAATATATAGTTATATACTTAGAAGACAAAATAGTAAGAACGGGCAGAATTTTCAATAGCAGAAGGGTAACTTCGAGCTAAACTTGGAAGTCAGGTGTTTAAGAAAATACTACTACCTGCTTTTAAAGTGGGGATTCAACTAGGGTCTGACAATATTGCAACCAAACCACTTAAAATGCTGGCTGCTATAACGGACTGCTTAGCGGCCTACCCGCTAGTTAAAACTGGAGACTTCACATGTGGTAAGTGAAATACAGGTGTCATGGAGATCAAAAACTGACAGATACAACTGACTAAAAAGGTAACACATTTGTACCTTGCCTTTTTTCCCCTTGTGCTTTGGTGAATATTTTGAATTGGTTTTCATACTGGAAAGCATGTCTACTTCAAATGACTTCTTCTTTATAGCAGGATCAATTTAAAGAATAGATCAACATAAGGAAATAGGATGTCTACCAAAAGCTGAAATAGTAGCTGAACTTACTCAAAACCAGCATATAGTTGCCCTAAAGCACTCCAAAACTCCAGCTGAAAGGAAGTTACTACTGTTAGGCATGTGAAAATAGGTGGAGAAGGCCTTAGAACTGGCTGCCTTCACATCTGTCGCTTTGCCACTTCATTGAGGCTAAATTGATCTTTCTTTGATGAAGCATCACAATACAGACAAAAATTGAAAGTAGCATAGGAAATGTTGCTCTGAACAGCTTCGTATCAAATGAAAATAGATCAGCTTCCAATTGAAATGGCTACTTCATTTTGCACATTCACGTTGCTTCAACACTGGAAGCCACTGCGGGACTGGATAGAAACACTACTTTCAGGTCTCTTTTGGGCAGAAACTTACAGAAGAGTTAGTAGTCAAACAAACCTGGTCTCCCCTGCAAAAAAAAATAGGCATGTCATCCCTGTGTGCTGCAGAAACACCTCTGTTTTAACAAAAAAACAGTTCACTTTTAGAACAAGCAAAAGGGCCCAGTGATTCTTGACCCGTATAATAAGAAGTCAAAGACCACTCATGTGCATAGGTCACACTGGAAGCACAAGACTTTGAGTTTCTTCAAAGCCAAAGAATAAATACAACATGTCAGCTTTACTGAGATCAGCTGGAGAACTGCAAGATTAATGTTTTATGCTCCTCTTCACAGGCTTATCTCTCTCTGCCATATCCAGAGTTAAATTTCAAGTTAAATTGTCTAATCAATTTTAAAGCGGTTATGATACTCACTGCTGCAGCTGAGCCAAAAAGGCTGGCAAATGGGTAACAAACCGATTTTATTTATATACACAGACACACTTAATTTAGTACCCTCATTATATCTTCTACTTACATAAATTATTTTGGAATGGGAAAAAAAAAGGCAGAAAATTCCCATTGAACATTCATGGCTTTCATCTGTCACTACTGGATACAAATGATAAGACTTGGAAATTGATTAGCCCCCACTGAAAAGATTTGGAAAAGGATGTTTTTTTCTGAATGTGCCTCGTCACTCAAAACAAGCTGAACCATTACATTTGCAGCAGTGGAAGGATGGTGGAGAAGAAACTTAACACAACCTCTGATTGGTAGTTACTGAGCATTCACAATCACTGAATTTTTATAATTTTAGAATACTTGATCATTCTTCTTCGTTAGTGCTAAAAATGCAGAACTTCACAGCAAGGCAAGGGACTACGTGCCTACTGACTTTTCATTTCACAGACAAGCTGTTTATGTTACCCACAAAAGAAATCCTGAAGGGGCTAATTTGTAATCCACTCTCTAAACATACTTACAGCTCACAGAAGTGAGTTAT